ATCTTTTTACCACGTTAAACAATATATAACGTTGAATGCATATCATGCATTATTCACGCCCGATCATTTTAGTCCAGCTATAGGCAACTATAATTTCATGACAAACAATATCACTTTCCTAAAAAATAGGGTGAAATATACTTTTGTACGGATGCGAAAATTAATAGCACACATACCAGCTGTACGAGCATTGAGTTAAAACAACACTAGAGAAGCAAACCTCATTATCACACGTCGAAAAAAGTGTAACCACTTTTGAACTTTGACGACGTAGCTTTGACACCACTAAACATTTGAAAGTAAACATATTTATGTCTCATTTACACGCGAGACAAGAACAATACCATCGCTCGGATTAGACAAAGACAAAGACATAACTTTACGATTGTGGGCCAGTGTTGACTACCGTATGAAATTTTACCCATAACAACCAAGAAACAATTTTTTTTTAAACAATTTTGTAATAAAATAAATTAATTTAAATATTTTAAATAATATATTTAGAATTGAATGGAATAGGTATAAATAATAAAATAACTAGAAATATTTGGTTAAAAGGGTTTATATTCAGTGTAAAATCAAACTCCGCTATGAAGCATCAGTTTTGTATACAATTGTCAATATATATATTTTTTGTTTTTTATATTTTTTTATTTATATTTATTTACTTTTTTATTTTATATTTTATTTTTTTTGTACAATTATTATTTATATTTGATAATTAATTAAGAAAAATGAATAAATTAATTAATTAATTCTTTTATACAAAAGTCTCCAGCACTGCGAGCTTGGCAGAAGGTGAACGTTCAACGGGTCCCTAAAAAAAGTGATCGATTCAGCCCTAAGAACTACCGTTCTTCCTATATTTTATTATTATTGACAAAATGTTTAAAAACAGTATAAAGCATAATTTCATAAATTATAAATTCTCCCACTAATGTGGGAAAACAAAAATGATTTTTTAATGGTAACACTGATTCTAAATTACAATTATCAATGTTTTATTTCAATTATAGCCTTATTTACGATATTATCAATACAAAAACCATAAACTTACATGTGATAAGTAATTCCGCATGATTTATTATGGTTTTGTGACCTTGAATCGCATTCTTTCACTACGCATTTACCCATTTTGGCGATTATTACTGTCATGTGTCGCTATGTTCAACTCGGTTGACGCCACATTGAACACTGAATTGACGTTTGCTACGCATATGCCTGTGGACAGATGTGCAGTAGCAACGATTTTAGGCGGTAATTACTCATCTATGTAAGTATTATATCAATGTGTACGAGTATTTGATTGACACCGGGGTCAAGGTCGCGCGCGGTCGGTGAACCAGCCAACAAGTCAGCCAGCCAACCGGTGTATCTACTTTACCGTGAAATGTATAATATACCTACATACTTATACTATTTTGCTACTGTGCTAGTCTACCTAGCCACTTTTAACCGATTTCACGGGTTTAACTAACACTTTTTTTAGAAAATGTAGGTAAGCATGAAACAGTTTACCGATCTTAATCATCCGGGGCCTTATTAGATGCGGCTCAAATTGTGCCTCATTCATTTCGAAGCAGATTTGGGCTAGGCGTTGAGCTTTCTCACGCACGCGGCAACTTATCGTGGGTCGTGGGGTCTTTGACACAGTCAGTACATCTACGATCTCTTGGCGCATTTCGTGATCACTCACAATCGCGATTTAAAAATTTAAATTTTATAAAAAGCCTGCGAAGGATGTCTGGCCGAAGTATTGCTAGGAAGTTATTTTGTAGAAATATTGAGTATAAAAAAATTGCTTATGAAAGGAAATAATTAGTAAAGCACAATGAAAAATACATTATATTACTGCCGTATTTTCAGACTGAGCTTCCTCAATGGCCGGCAATGCGCTTATGATTCATTGGCGGAGGTAGTCATTTTCCATTAGGTAACCCATCCGCTTTGCCACCCTTATATCTTAAAAAAAGATAAAGCCCTCCATAGGTACAGCATTACACTTACTTATTATACTATATTATGCTTAGAGAAAAACAGGAAATTTAAATAGTGTATTACGGTATTAAATACTGTAATTTTTTTAGGGTTATAAAAAGTTAATACAAATTAACTATTTTTTTTTCTATCTTTTATTTTTTGTGCAGTCTTTTCATCGTATCTCCATGCCAAATTTCATTATATCAGTTTATCGGTTTAGTCGTGAAAGCGTAACAAAAAGAGATACTTTTTCATTTATTATATAAGTAATATTATTATTATTTAATACAGATAGAGTGAGGGAGCTAGGGTAAGGGATACCCCAAGTCTTGCATAGGGAAAAGGAACTCAGACTGCAATAACTCGAAGAGTCGTGTGATGGAACAGGCCATTTGGACTGGGACATCAACTTACCTTCAAACATTAGAATTTAACGACTGTCGGTTTTTTTCTGTTACTTGTGCTATTAGTCTTTTCCTTCTCTCCAAATTTCATGATTCTATATCCCATTGATTTTGAGTAGACTTGGTTACTTGATTTTTTTAACTAGTTCGAATTACCGCATTTAATTTTAATACAATGCCTCCATGCGTTCGTGGCAAAAAGACAGACAGACAGACAGCCAGATAGACAATAAAGTGATCAATTTAAGTCCTATTTCTTTTTTCAATTTCAGCCGTGACGATACCATAAATTTCCATAAAACAATTGCTTTAATAAGCGGTTATATCGCACAAGCACCCACATCTATATACTGTCATATATATATATAAATATATATATATGCTTTAACTGATAACAAAAGAGATAAATTATCAGCTGTTTTGTGATATTTTAATAGCTCTACTTTACGAATTAGAATATCGTGTTATACTAGTATAATATACATAATAAAATATTCTACACGAACTTTCTTTCTTCGATTCTTTATATTATAAGATACGCTAATGTACGGTAAATAAATATTTACATGTACGGCTGCTGAGATGACAGTCAAGCTATTACAAAGGCTAAGCGCTTATTCTGACATATATAAGTATGTAGATACGCCGCTATCTCCGAAAAGGTAAGCAGATGCATACTAAAGTTTTTGCAGATTACAATTTGCTCCTACCCTGGTCGTTAAAGTAGACCAGCCTATGGCTGTTCCCCGGGCACTGTACGAATTAGAAATGGTAAAATATGTAGGTGCTATATTTAAAGGGAAAGGAAGATATGAAAGAAAGAATTTGAAGAGGTGTACTGCTTGTACAGATGGAACACGGAGTAAAACCTCCTCCACCTGGCTCTTCTTGTTCTGGCTTTTTTTTTTAGTTTTTTTATGGTATAAGGAGGCAAACGAGCAGACGGGTCAGGGAAGTTATGGGAATAAACCTTTTATGGTAAGACAAGATCCGGCTTTTCATAGCTAGCCGTGTAAATTAAAGTTTACATAATTTTTTAATTAAATTCTTGAGTTTTTTTTAATTTAGTTTAGGCATAAAATAACGAAATAGTATAAAGTTAACATTAAGATGGTAATTTATTGGTATTTATTGTATTTAATAGTCATAAGTAAAGTTATTACTTAAATTCGCTTTATTTTCTTTTTCTCGTGTCGGATCAAATGTTTGTATAATCTGCAAATATTTGTTTCAGAGTTTCAGTGTTTTCTATGTATATGTATGTATCTACAAAAAAAAAAGTAATCTATCAGTCAATCTAGCTTTCATATTACAAGCTCAGTTGTGTCAGATGTCCGAAAATATTATTATTGTATTATATCAATTTAATTTCTAGGTTGAAAGTTGAGAGCCATTCTTCGGCACAAATGGGCCAATTCTACCGAGTGATACCGGCATCACATAAGACCATCTTAAGCAAATTTTTAGTTATTTTCCACAGAGTGAGTAAGGCTACCAGAACACCAAATCTCCATTTCCCTCTTATTCAAAGGGAAGTTGCGCACTTGTAATTTTTGAGTTGTAGGTGTCCATGGTCACTCACAATCAGGTGACCCGTCTAGCCCCTGAACCAGGGATTCCTTAAGTAGTCGCTATCGACACCTTGAGGTTGGAATAGGTTTCCCGACCCACGAAAACTGATTTTAGGAAGCGAAGAGGTCTAAAAAACGACCTCTATTAATTAACACAAGTTCTTGTTTGAAACTTTCAAGACACTGTATTAGTTGTGTTACGTGTACTTGTTATACGACTGACTAATATTTTAGTAGGAAGTATCATTATTGTAATTTTTAAAAACTCAATGCACTAATAGGCTATATGGCTTGGTCTCTTGCCCAAAATAGTTTATAGTGTAGAATCCCTGCCCTAAGCCATAAACTAATGTTCTGTATCTCTTAAATACAATACACAATTCAACAATGGCAGTTTGATCCAAAACTAGGCTGAGCCTCTAACAGCCTGTAATAAACATGACTATAAATTACTAAATACATCCATACTATAGATAAATTACACTCAGATTTGGAACAAAACTTATCACACAATTATTTTTCCTAAGTGAAAATCGAACCCACGAACTATGCCTAAGTAGGCAGGATCACTAACCACTGGAGTACTCAGAGAGAGAGTAATTTTCAAATATTTTGATAGTGACAATTGACACATAGTTTTAAATCGTATTTTATTATAATAATACGTATAGTGCGGCTTTTTGATCAAGTGTATCAGTTACATTACAACTAGTAGAACGGTTGTCACTTTTCTGGTGCTAAATATTGATTAATCTTTACAATACCGTCGCTCGGTACCACAGAGATAACGTGTGAACATGTTGTGTTAGCCAGCTGTCAAAAGATGTAAGTGGGGAAAAACGACGTGGTGATAATGGCCGTGGTGGTCGCTTGCGCAGACAGTTCGCCGAGCACTTCCAGCGCGATTGGGTGTTGATAGGCACGCAACTGTCGCACATCGCTTTGTTTGCATTCGCGTTTCTTTGTTCGAATTAGCGCGCGATGGAACCAGTGTATTTTGTTATGTTATAGTTTTATCTGTCTGTGTAAGTGATAGTTCATAAAAATGGCCAGTGAAAACTCAGACTCGCATGAGACGAACTCCACTTTACTAGTCGAAGATACTCTGACCATATCTTTCCAAAATATTAGTTATAATGTAGCGACATCGTGTTGGACAAACATAAATCCTAGAGGTAAGACGCTCACTTAATCTCATTTAATTTATTGCCTACTATAGACACTATTGAATATCGAAACATTTTAATTCCAATCTAATCGTTAAGAAACAGTCCTATCTTATCTTAATAATTCTATTCGGAGTAACCATCTCATTGTCTAATTAGTGCCTTGTCTGAATAATCTCTACCACGCGTGTCAAAGGCAACAAATATAATGTTTTTTTTTGTTTTGATTCTTTGCCTCTTTTTCATTATAAATAACCCATACAGTGGATAATACCACCATAGATAGAACCATCTATTTAATTGATTATATCTCCCATTTAAATAAAACAATGATTGAACATTATTTTTTTAAATGGGTAGGTAATTCTTTTAAACAGATTCATCATATATTAAAAACTTAATAAGGCACATAAGATGCTACGAGTAGAACCTTAATATTGGAATCTCTTGCTTTATCATTTATTTATAGTATACAATGTAGGCTTTGTTTTTAAATTAACATTCAAATCTTAAGTGAATTATTTTACCTAGACTTTTATTAATTTACTATGTACATGGCAATATTTACCTGGAGTCATTGTTCATGATTGTGGTTATCGATTACACAATAAACCTAAGCCTGTACATAGAACATCTTTACACCATCAGGATGAGCTCAGATCAGTATAGCTTCTTTTCCCCATATCCTAGTGTGGAAATATGAAGCACGCAATGTGTTATATACGATAATTGTTATATCCATGGACCTTGACCGCTTTGTCCGTATTTGATTAATCTTTAAATTATAAATATAATTTTCTGTTATTTGTATGCACTTTGTTCAGTCATTTATACGTAACTACTAATACATTTCAAGAATGCAGTGAAAGGAAAAAGTTTAATAGATATGGTCACATTTTAGTGTAAATAAAATAAACCTTGTAAATATTGTAAAGTTTTAACAATCTTAGAAAAGTTAGTGATTTTTAGTGAAGTTAAAAGATAACTAATCTTTTCTAAGATTGTTAAAACTTTACAATAATAATAATATATTATTATTGTAAAGTTTTAACAATCTTAGAAAAGTTAGTGATTTTTAGTGAAGTATATTGATTTTGTAACTGACAAATTACATATTACAGAAATTTATAAAAAATACAGACAAACTATAATACAGATAGCAAAAGGTCTAAGCGTCATCGTGTGCTTGGATTCCAAATGAATTACCTAGCGCTGGCTTTTAACTTACACCTTTGACACCTATTTACAAAAGAAAAAACTATTTAGAACATTTCTTTGTGATCATACATTACATTAGATATCAAGAAAATAAATAATGTGTATACATAATGTGTATACACACACAATGAGTGTGGAGAATGTAAAAAAGAAAAGAACTAAAATGAAAACAGTTTAAGCTGACATAAAAACTTACACATGAAAGTCTTCTAAAAAGAATATGGAAATTCATTTCATTTAAACTAAATCAATAGTTTTAGAGTTTATAAAACGATTCTTAAATTTGACTTCACTCTTCAATAACACCTTATAGAACAGAAAAATTTAACGAAATCTATCAGATGTACCCCTTTTTTTTTCCGTGCGGAAATCCCCTCGGATACCACCGGTGGCATGTCGGACTCGAACCGACTAAAACCGCACGCCGTCGCGGGTACTAATAGCCGTGGAACCAGGTATACCCCAGAAAGGAAGTCCCTGGTGCCCCAGCATACCTCGGGCCATCTACAGACGAGTAGACGATCCCCCCCCCCGTGTGGGAACCCCATGTTCCCTCTGCTCCCTGGAAGCGAGCGCGCTTCGCAACGCACTCGCCGCCACCCCGGGCTGCTTTTGCTAGGGCAGATGTGGGGTACATCTGGCCTAGGCTTATTAATGTGTAATATTTTCAATTAATACACGATTGTTATCATTTCTGTGGTACAATTGTCAACAGTACATCGATTTTATAATCAAAACTTTTTTTTTACCAAAAGAAGCTTTGTCATGTTAATTTTTAGTCTTTGAGAAATCAAAGAAATGTATGCCTTATTTAGTGTCGAAGATAGCACAGAATATGTTATCAGTTTTTCTTGAGGTCACATTAATTTTTATTTTATAACAAAGAAGTTGAAATATTCCCTTGTCAGTCCACTATTTATAAAAGGTTCTTGATTAAGTGTATTTAGCACAGTGATCTTTGAGTGAAATTGTTAACTACTAAATAAATGTTACCATTCCTAGTTTTGGGTGTTGCAAGAGACGACTAAGGGAGACTAGACAGGGCAACAGCACTGGAAAAAGAGAAGAAAAACTTGACACCAACCCGTCTGGCCACTCTGGGCCACAAAAACTCCTTTCCAAGTAGATGCCTATTTCCTGCAGTGTACTATCAAAGCCCGTTGATGATGATTCCCAAGTTACTGTATAACAAAAACCTAGGCTGTTTATTAGTCGTTGGAGCGCTCGCGCGCTAGTCAGTGGAACTGAAGGTTATATAGGTTGCATATACTAGTACGACACTGGAACAATTTATGTATAGGCATCCTCAATGTTTATTTTGGAATAGTTGCTTTAAGGATGCTATCGACAAACATACGTTATCTACATTTAAAGGTATATTTTGGTACCCGCATAATAATGTCAACGCATATGTATATTCATATAGGTATACAAAGTTTGTATGCGCTTACCGGGAGTCTGTTATTTATCATTGCATAGAGCATCCAATAACAAATAAAGTGATAACAGAAAATAAGGTGTTTGTCGTGGTTTATTAAGTAGCAAATTTTTTATTAGACGTTGGTAAATAGTTCATGTGATACCACATTAGGTAGATTTATAGTTATGTAAATGTAATAAGTCTGTAGCAAAGTGGGCATAACTTTGATTAGGTGATGTGAATAACAAGTGAAAAAATATCTTCACTTACAATGAAATCATGAATTTCTTTGTTTATTGGTTGCGCTTCCAGGTACTAACTACTCAACATAATGAAATTTGACTTAGGCCATGGGTATAGAAAAGATTTCCTCTCTTAAAATAAAAGTACAGTACCTGAATAATAACATTTATTTGAATAGTGACGAGGTCATAATAAAATTTATGTTTCAAATTGTGATTTGTGTACGTTTCAAACACTCAAAAAGTTCTGCACCGATTGTTGTTCTGTCTGTCTGTTACCAAAGTTGGCACTGACTAAATGCTTATTTTTATAAACAATAATTATCCAAATAACTCGTTGGTCGCACTAGAAGAGCGCTTAGATGTTAATCCGCTATCTCGTAAAACGATACCTACTCGTATGGCCAACACGATCCGCTTATATAGGGCTACCGAAATAACTAGAATAATCGCTAGGATTCGATAGGGCGTTAGCTATAATCTTCGTCAGCTCGAACCTTGCCAAAGCTTCTGACACAACGCTCTCGAGGTAAGTAAATGTGTGCACGCGTTGCGCATCTGTTGAATCAACCCTGTGCAATGGTGGTAATCCACCTTAGATTGCATGTCGCGGTGTGTGAATAATCAGACATAGATCGTCAGCATAATCTAAGACATCGGTTATTCGCCACTCCCTTACTCTGCCTCTTGCTGTAACATGCTGCATAATTCCGTCTAGGACAACCAGGAAGAGGAGGAGTAAAAGTAAGCAACCCTGACATACCCTGTATCTCAATGTCTCCAGAGATGAGACCACCTTGAGTAACTCTACAGGAATGTTCCCTGTAGATGGATATCTCGTTTGCAGAAGTACGTACTTTACAAACCTTTAACAAGACTTTCGATTATCACGGAACAATGATATTAATTAAATTATCATTAAATTAAATGTTCATTAAAGTACATACGTCAACATAATGAAACCTTAATGCCTACTTATCTAATCACGATACTTGGTATTCTGCCTTTCAGACTAAGGCATATTTAACAATAATGTATTGTCACATGGATTTAGTTTATTTTGTAGTTATCGTTGTTGACTTCTTATCATTTTGACACACTTTATATATTACAGGAGAACTGCTCTGCACCCTTTTAAGGAGCCTTAGATTTTTACAATAATTTATTAGTAGAAACTAGTAGTAGTTCAAAAAATACAGGCCAATATAATAAACAATATGTAAAGATATTGGGTTGAACAAACATTTTAAGATGTTTATTTTCTTCGAGAAATGATTTTCCTAGTGCAGGTCACCTAAGTTATGAAGCACTTGTAAGAAACCTTTTTTATTTATTTTGCTGTCAAAATCAATGTTGTTTTTTTTTTACTTTTAAAGTAGCAATTTTGTACAAAATACGGCATTTTTTTCTAGAGGTGTCGATTCGCACACTAATAATCAAATTCATCCCCGACAAGAATCAAAAGTATAACGGCAGGTTCCAATACATCATTTTATTTAAAGTAGGTAGGTAAGGTGTGGTGACGGATTAAGAACACAGAGTGTCACTACCCCTATTCATACTGTGGGTGTCGTAAGAATCAACTAAGGGAAAAAAACTACCCAGAACAACAGCACTGCAGAGAGAAGGAAAACTTGACACAAACCCTATACAAACCCGTCTGGCCAGCGTGGTATAGTAGGCCAAAACCTCCTTTCTAAGGAGAGGCTTATGTCCAGCAGTGGACTGTTAAAGGCTGTTGATGATGACGATGATTAATACCTGTGTGAGATTTTTCATTCATTGTTTTACTTTTGAGTTTCATCCATTTTTAAAGCATAAGCGGTATTTACCTATAATAATAATATTCTACCACATTCACACAAACTAAGCAGAGCTTGTACAATACTAGACAGCTGTTTTTTTTTTGTAAATACATACATATTGTACACAGAAACACCCAGACCAAATCAATCATTAAAAGTGCATGCACACTATTGTTTGACTTGAGCAGGAATCAAACCCGCGACCTTTGGAATAGCAGTCCGTTACACAAACCACTATGCCATTCGGTCGTCGAATCTGTAAGTGGTAAGTTGGATTGTTTTTAAATATATAGGTATGTATAAGTTTAAGGAATTAATGTAAAC